TAACCCTTTTGCAAAAATATTAGCATTACGTGTCCCATACTGATCTGTACATATTTATTACCTGCTCCCTTATAGTCAGATGATCGAACACAGAACGATAAGTGTACCATTACCAATTCAATCGATATACCGTCTGTGGCTTTTCATTGTGCCTGCTATTTTCTAGCTATTCTCTCATGCTTACTATTATCCCGCCATCTAGACTTCCTGTCACGATGCTTCCTTTCTCAGCGCGAATGTATTTTCAATGTTTGCAAACTTTCCCGCGATTTGTAAGGGAAGTTGCACGAACAATAATCGCAGTCAGTTCCTCATTTTTTCCACACCGAGGACGCAAGCGCACTGTACAAGTTCTTCCGTTGTTTGAGTTCTTTCCGGTGCTGCTCAGTCAGTTCTTCAGCAGCTTTAGGATTAAACAGATCCACTAGTCATGCGTGTAAACAGCTCGCATCACAATGACATCAGATACACCGTGCATGTGACACGAGGTGTCTTGAATCTAATCGGTGTGTGGCCGTCACAAGTCAATCCGTCCAATCTTAGGCTCGTTTGGACGAGATTGCTCAGAGTGCTGTGCCAGGCTCTGCTCTATTTCATTTTTATTCCGGGAATGTTGAAAATATTCCTCAAAGAGTCGAACGCCCGTCGTCGACTCAAAATGATCGGGCCCATGTGCAACTGTCTAATGGCCGTGTTGAAGCACATGCTGCTGATCTGTCAAAACAACAAGATTAAGGACTGCATTAAGCATATCGAAGAAGACTGGGCTCAGGTGAGCCAGACGGAGGATCGCAGGATCATGATGGGAAATTCGAAAATCGGTCGGAGCTTGGCAATCTTATGTGTGGCCTTCGTATATGGCAGCGGGTTTTCGTATCGCACTATCGTCCCGATAACACGCGGCGTCGTCGTCACGCCGCAGAACGTGACGATCAAGCCATTAGGATTCGCCGGATACTACGTGTTCATTGATCCACAGAAGACGCCGGCTTACGAGATCATATTTACCATTCAGTTCCTTTCTGGTTTCGTGCAGTACTCAGTGACTAGCGGAGCCTGCAGTCTGGCGGCTTTACTGGTACTGCATGCTTGCGGCCAATTCAAGATTCTCATCGCTAAGATGGAGAATCTCACGCGAATGAATCAATTCTCCAATGTAGACGTCAACAGGAAATTGGCAGCTGTTGTGAAACAACACATAAGGATTAAGAGGTAATATAATATCTTATCGTGATTACGTAGATCAGATTATACGCAAAAGATTCTCACGGCGTGGTACTTATTATGAGAAAAAAGGGAAAATTGTTATAATTTAAATATTCTCATTAATGTCATTTAGCTTCTTAGACAAAGTAGAAGATATTTTGCAGTATATGTGTCTGGTAGAAGTAATTGGATGCACGTTCATATTGTGTCTTCTTGGATACTACATAATAATAGTATGTAAGATAATAATATTTCAAATATTATACATAAAATGTATATATAAAATAAATATATAAAATAAATGGCAAGTATACAGTTGACAGAGCGAAAGAAAGTGCAAAAGAAAAATATTTTCAACATGTATTTTATAGGAATGGGAAAATAACGACGCAGTGTCTATGCTAACGTATACTATACTTCTCCTAACATTTATTTTTAATATTTTCATACTGTGCTTCATCGGTGAACTTCTCACTGATCAGGTGTGTACCATCGATCTGTGATTTTCACTCAATAAATATGAAGAAAACCATATTGATCAAATTATTACACGATTATAGAGCATGAAGATGTACATCACTTCTTGTACTCTTAGTTGGTATCGCATTCCTTACAAAACTGCTCGCAGTCTCGTTCTAGTGGTCGCAATATCTAGCATACCTACTAAAATCACCGCGGAAAAATTTATGGATCTGTCTCTCAATAGCTTCGGTATTGTAAGTATGTTTTCATTTCACGTGTTTCTATCTGATTTAGTTGACATTAGGGAAGCTTCAATATTTTAATTACTCAAAATATTAAATTGTCATTGAATGTGTAATTACTGTTCTTTCTAGATTATGCGAACATCGTTCGCATATTTGAATATATTACGGACAACTAGCATTTAAGGCTGTAGTTCCTTAGACAAAATAAATAAACTTTATTCGTAGGATATCTAGACTGAAGGTCTAGATGCAAATAGCGCTGTTTAAATAATAAATCAATGTATAAATAAGTATAAAAATTTGCAAATTATTTTGTTATTCTGTTTTTATATTAGAAAATGAACGTAAATTTATCTTTGTATTTGTATACTTTTTTATGTTTATACGATTGTTATATGTCTTATAAAATCTATGATGATACGAGATACTTTTAGCGTAATACGTTTCATTTTTGTTAATAATATGTACACGTAAAAAGATATCGTGCACATAACCATAAGGATTTAACAGTGAACAGCATGGTTGCATCCTAATTATCTTTGTGTGATAATAATGTGTATTGTTGATATGACTCAGTTAACTTTGATACACCAACTACATCAATATAGTTACGCATAATTTGATTATGGCAACCAGAAATCGGTATGGTGACATTTATCACGGATACACTCAGATTGGAACAACCAGATATCATCACTGCTGCAACGCCAGTAATTATTTTGTAGCAATCACGTAATTAATTATTCCGTATTTTACTATTGAATCTGGTTGATACAACCAGATTTATATGTGAGTTATAGATTAATCATAATGTTTTTTCTGTATAGCATTTGATTTACATAACATTCTGTCTATAAAATCACACAACACAAAGTACACTAGACATGACCACACGTATTCACATAGATCGTAGATTTCAATTTTAGACGCTCCCGCACGATGCCACGATCCTTCTCCTTGCACGTCACCGACACTAAGAATTTATCGTAGACAATACGGTATGTCGAATTGACAACCCCTTTCGTGTATGCCCTGTTATTACGCGCAATCGTTTTATGCACGCAAGCGCACCGCACAACACTATACTTTAGCCCACCTATTATCATATACATCTGTTCAGTCATGCTCGTGCTTCTACTACCACTCGATTATTTGCCATCCTTAAACTCGAAATGCGGGAACTCCGTTAACGAAAATAATAGAAATCCTAATAAAATAAAAAAACAAAAAGCGAGCCAAACGCAAAGTTCGCGATCAATTTACGTAGTCACGCATAGAATCTCGATCTAGAAAAAGTTAAGATCGCATAATGAATCGAAGCGCTAAACACTCGTCGACAGCGACCTGGGTGAGCAGACAGGAGAATGACTTAAACTACGCGATACAAGTGACCCGTGTCATTCTTCGAATAATCGGCCTGTGGTCAATTTCCAAAGTTGCTTCTAACGCGGAAAAAATTGTAATTCGCTTACTGAATGTCTCGTGTTACCTACTATTCGCGTTCATCCTGGTGCCGGGTTTGCTGCTGATATTCTTAAAGGAACGTGACATAAGGCGGAAGGTAAGACTGTTGGGTCCACTTCTAAACTGTTGAATAGGTTGCGTGAAATACAGTCTACTCGTGTACAATGCGAAGGAGGTTCAAGCCTGTTTGCAACAGATGCGAAAAGTTTGGCAGAATATAACCGATTAGGACGATCGTAAAATTATGTTGTTCAAGGCAAAAGTAGGCCGGAAGCTTGTGATTCTCTCCGCCGCCTTCATGTATATGTGGATATTGTGGATTATCTTATCGTACGCTCGTGCCGCTCTCGAAAGGACGAATGCTGATGCAGATGAACACCACGGTGAGAGCGCTGGCCTGTCCGAGCTACTTCTTCAAATTCGACGAGCAGGCCTCGCTGGCATACGAGATCGTCTTCACCCTGCAATTTTTCGCAGGACTGATTACCTATTCGGTGACATGCGGCGTAGCCGGATTAGCCGCGTTCCTCATTATGCACATTTGCGGACAGCTAGCTATTTTAATCAGGAAGTTCCAGCGTCTCAACGACATGCCGAAAGACCGAGTCGTTGCGATGTTGTTGGCTGATATTGTAGAACATCAAATAAAAGTGAAAAAGTGAATTCACATGGAAATAGAATAATTGAGAAAATCTCAACATAAATATAATGATATTTTTTCTTTCAATATTTCTAATTGCAAATTGTAATTTATACAGTAAAATTAGTGTTAAATTTCTTTTAAAGGGACCAAAACGGTTTGAAATCTTTAAAAAAATCAATTTTTGAGTTTTTACATAATCGTTTAGTACAATTCCTTAATAACATTTTGGCGCATATTCGATATTCGTAAAATTGAGTTCAGGAGAGCGAAAAATACGAGGCGGCGCGCGGCGATCATGTAAGAAATGTAGATACTGTTTATTTAAAACAAACTGATAAACAGTAATAACGAAAACTTAGAAATAGTAATATTGGAAACAAAGGCTATAGGCGTGTGAAGATCACTGCTAACAAATATAAAAGTAACAACAAAGGAGACGGGAACAGTCGGTCGGTCCGTAATAGAAATAGTCGGTCGTTTATTTTTCAAAACAACATTTTTCGCTCGTTTTGCCACGATTACTCAAGAACGGCTAAAGATATCGACTTGATTTTTTTTTTAAGTTAAAGATAAAGATGTAATGCATAGATTAAACTAAAATTTGCATATGAAAATTAATCTTTTAATATCGTTTTAACAATAAATAGCTTTTAGGAAATAACAATAAATAACTTTAGAAATTTTTAGACATGTACTTCTCTTACATCGCCAAAAGTCTTGAAAGAGAGGACGATAAATTTGCCCGCAGTGATTTTTAGCAGAATATGTGATATAATTATTATTAGCACCATATCACGTGCTTTTTCTGCTGGAAGACGATACCATCCTAGCATGTGTTCTCCAAGCTGCTTCCTCTACCTGTTATAATAAGATAGTATGATGACTACCTTTTATATATACAATATTTTTCTCCTGTATCACACATTTAAATATTATTTTAATCGCCATATATTCCTGTATTTTCTAATATGGTGCAAATAATTCATTTTAGTGGCAAACGTGGTTATTAAAAAGAACAATAAAATTGGATAAAT